ATATCTATCTATATATATCTATATATATCGAGATGCACCAATACCGGGTTTTCGGTATAGAGTACCAATATATTTTTTTTCCTGTACTCGCCAATACCGGTGGCGTGTGCCCATATTATCAGGAAGTCGGGCGGCGGATTGTGACCCGGTCGCCCGGCTTCCTGATTGCCTGTGAGGCCTGTGTTCTAGCAAAAGAACACTGACTTCACTTGCTGAGGCCGCCAATCAGGAAGCTGGGCAGAAAGTCATGAGGTCCCACCTGGCTTCCTGATTGGTCAGAAAATCAGGCTCCCTAGGAACAAGTGAAGCCAGTCAGAAAGCCAGGCGTCACATCATGACCCGCCTCCTGATTGGCAATGAAGCCGGCTTCACTTGTTCCTAGGCAGCCTGACTTCCTGACCAATCGGGAAGCCGCGAGGTTTGTCATTACGTGCCACCGGGCTTCCTGATTAGTTAGGAAACCAAGCTGCCTAGCAACAAGTGAAGCCGGCTTCCTAGCCAATCAGAAAGCCAGGAGGAGCAACATAACCCACCGCCCGGCTTCCTGATTGGAAAGGCAGCCGGCTCCCTCCGCACTTACGGTCATTTCGGCGAGTACTCGGCAAATCAGTATTGGCACCGATACTAGTATCTGTGCATTCCTAATAAATATAATATTTATGTGTATATAAAATATGGAATAATTTCTCACACGTATGTAGACTCTGAACAGGTTTATTTGTGCTTCTCCCTCAGGCTGTGGAGCCAAATTCTCCGCTCGTAGCAGTCTGTACATTCATTCAAAGAAGCACCTTCAGGACGTGGATGCCTCCAAGGCTCGATGTTCCGTATCCAACTGCAGCAAGATATTCACTTCAAAGCAAAGCCTAAAGTCCCATATGGTTAAACAGCACGGCCGAGGTGAGAGCGGTCACCTACATGACTCGGACAGGCTGGTAGTATCTGATCTTGTCCGTGGCCTAATTGTTTAAAATCGATCTTCTCCGGGATTTGTTTTTTATTAACCCTTGCAGTGGGGCTACCCCTGCTCTGCAAGGGTTAAATGCTTATTTGTGTCTAATTTAGTTTTTTTTTTTAGCACCTATACTCTATAGAGCTGTCATGGTGCTCCCTCCAGCCTGTCTCCTCCCTGCAGCATTGTAATTTTCTTCAGTGTCCTCATATGCACTGTGTATGGACATGATGATTTATGGGACCTTAGACCGGCTGCAGAGGAGGGGGAGAGATGTTGGAAGGACCGGTCTAAGAAGAATCGGCTCAGAGCTTCAGCTAAGTCTGACTTTTTTTTTTTTTTTAACCTAGACACAAACGAGCACTTAAAGTGACATTAAACCCTCAGATTTTTTAACATAAAACAATACTGTAATGTGCGCCTTACTGTAATCCATGGTTGTTTCCCTTCTCTTTGCTGCTCTTCCTTTTAAATCCTCATGTCTTCTCATGCTTGGGAAGAACTTCCCTTTTCAGCTCAGGGCCTCTTCCTGTAGTGCTGGCTCAGGTTTCAAGCCCATACAAACCTACACACAGACACCGTGTATTTATTCCTGAGACAAGGCAGTCTGCTGCAAAACAGAAGTTCTGCCCAGCATGAGAACAGATACAGATTTAAAAGGAAGAGCAGCAAAGAGAAGGGAAACAACCATGGATTACAGTAAGGCGCACATTACAGTATTGTTTTATGTTAAAAAATCTGAGGGTTTAATGTCACTTTAACCCTTGCAGTGCGGGGGTAGCTCCACTGCAAGCGTTAATAAAAAAAAAAAATGTTCCTTCCTTCTTTAAAACTCAACATAAACCTAACACAAAGATCACAGTTTAAATAGCAGCCTTGTTATTCCCGTAGGCTTTTTAGATATAAATGTGTGTTGGCTCTCGCCCTCAGTTCACCCGGAGCACAATTTCACTGTCGGGATGCTGTAGATCGGTGAGAATAAGGGCTTGCGTTGGCTTCAAGCAGGTTTTGCATTCTCATGCACGTGTTTGGGAAGGTAAAACCCGCTTGAATCGGGTCATAAGGAGGCACCCTGTCAAATTCTGTATGATCTCGCAGGCTTCTCATACTGATGCCGTCAACGCAAGCTCAGAGCCCATTGACACAGGCCCCAAGGCAGTATGCACCGAATGTCCCTGTGCAAGTTTAAGAACTGTCCTGATGCCATTTTGGGTGAAGGACATTTAAAATTGCTATAGAAGTACCAGTTTTCAATGGTTTTTAGTGGTGGTCACGTGACTACAGCTTCCAAGTCTTTCTGCAACGGGCTGGAAGTGACATGCTCCCGGTTGCATTCAGAGCAACTGCACATGTGTTGGAGTGCGTGACATGCACAGTCACAATGCATTGGGTAAGGTTCCAGGTGCCGAGAACGCTAGGGGATTAAAGATTTTGGTAACCACTGTGGCTGCTAGAAAAGTGAACTGTTATCAGACCCTATTGATAGATATTAATCTACACAGAAGCATTGTTTTAATGTGGTTAAGAAATAACTTGATGAGAAAAGTGAATGGACCTGGTTTGCATTGTCCTGCATGTTAGGGGTCTGAAGGTGCTGCATTTAAACCCGTCTGTATTACTCGCATGTTCTCTCTTGCCTCGCAGACCTGGAAGCCTCCAGCTCCCTCACCCCCAGCAGTGAACTCACAAGCTCCGGGCAAAGTGACCTCAGTAATCTGGACATCTCATCTCTCTTCACCAACGTGTCCTCAAACGGTTCAGCCGACCTGACCCTGGTCAACTCTGGAATACTGACCATCGATGTGTCTTCTGTGAGATCGACGCTAGGAGGCGGCCTGTCCGCCAACAATAACTCTTTGGTACATCCCGTCGACCCCTTGGTGCTGGTGTCCAACAACGAGAACCACAGCAGTTTGGACAGCTCCCTCCTGCTTGGCGCAGCAGCCTCTATCCTCCAGCAGGGAAACCTGAACTTGGATGATGTACAGACTGTGAATGCAGAGGCCCTGGGCTCTCTGGCTTCCTTATCTGTGCGAAGTTCCAATCAGGATTTGCACGCACTTACCTCCACTAACAGCCTGACTATAGATTCCGCTAGCCTGACGCCTTCTGTTAGCCTGGGGGCCAGCGGCTCCATGCCAGAATTGCTGACGCAGACCAAAGCTGATAGAGGCTTGCTTCACAGCTCGGAGGTTGTAGACCAGCAGGAAGGCAGTAAAGTAGTAACGCAGTTTGTGTTCTCCAACACTGCGGGCAGCTACAGCGCACAGAAAGAAGTGGATTTCAGTGTGGCCGGAAATTCAGTATTGGTAAGAGTTTCTTTTCCCGTATTGTGAGATTTGCAGTGACCTTTCCTTTTATATGGGGGGGGGGGGGCACATAACTTGCTTCCCCTCTCCCATATTTCAGTCCTGATTCCTTGTGATTGAACTGGTTCACCTAAACGGTTTTGTGTCCCTGAATGTTTGAGGCTCTATCATTGTAAAGCAGGAGTGCCATGATTCTGGCCGGTTGTGTGGCCACCTCCTAAAGCAGTATGTGCCTCTCTCGGCAGGACAGCGGCGGATCAGCCAGGACAGACTACAGAGCCATTCAGCTGGTGAAGAGCAAAAAGAAAGGTGGCGGCAGCAGTTCAGGTGAGCAGAAATCTCATCGTAGTGGGAATGCTTAGAATACTCTGACAAAGTACTGTGTATAGACCAGCAAGTGAACACATTATAGAATTCAGGACCCTTCAGTCCAATTTAGGAGCCAAAGGGCCGGTTTAAAGCAGACCCAGAAGGGATTGATCAAAGAACGGAAAATATACATTTTGATGTTTAAAGCAGAGAAAAAATATTGGGATAGGATATTTATAAAGGAGGGCCCTGGGCCCGAGGGTCAGGTGACCGGTGCCCGAGGGCCCTGTTTGTGGGGTCTCTGCCACAGGTTTAGGGGACTGCGGTGGTGGCCTGTCTATTGAAAAGCCCGCTAATGTCATACTATGAACATCCCTTGCATTGGCAGACATCTGCAGTACTTTGCCATTGCTCACATGACTAGAAAGTTAATTTTTACAAGATTGCGACAATTAAACGCTCCCTGCTCCGTCAGACCCTATAGCACTATAGTCAGCACAGCTCATGCTCCCTGCTATTTAGAGAGCTCTGGGACAATAGGGGGCATGTTGGACCTCTGCAGAGGGACCACTGCTTCAGCAAAGAACAGTCTCTGCAGCATGCTGGCAGGGGGCAGGCGTTTCTACTCAGGATGTGGCTGCTTTGCAATGCAAACTAGACTTTGCACATCTTTTTGTTTTGATGCCTCGGGAATGTATTTAGCTGAAAGTTTAATTGGGTTTAACAAGCAAAAATATGAGATTTGTCTCTTTCTGTTAGAAATGTGCCTGCAGTTTGAACCACATGAGGCGGCATTCCTCAAATACTCAATTATTGGACTGTTCTTGTCTAACTGGCTTCAGAATTCCATTTTGGTTTGCTGCTTCTGTCTATTCTTTTACAATAGTTTTATTGGCAGTGCTGGCAGCCACATTGTGTACTGGACAATGGCATGGCATCCTGTTCAGGGCTCAGTGACACTCGGCGATGTTCATTTCCTGTGAGCTCTGCCTGCCGTTTACATGCCCCCTAGGGGGGTCCGTCATCAAGCAGGCTGGGCTCACAGTATTCCAGGACTGAGCGGTGTTCACTCATTATGTGAGTCCTGGAGGGATGCCTGCGGTGACGAACAGAATGAAGAAAGGGATGTATAGGGGTTATACTGAGATGGCTTTGGAGATGGGGGCGGGGTTGGGGGTAATATGTCGGAAGTTCTGATTTAGGTTTTAATATTGTAACTGGTTTATTTTCTTTTGTATACACATTTTAGGCACTTCCCCTACTCAGAAGAAAAATAAAACTGCAAAACAATTGTCTCCGTCTGGTAACCGTTCAGGGAACAGTGTTGTTATGGCAAATGGTGGACTGACGTTACGGGACCCAGCCACGGGGGCACAGTATGTACAGATCCAGCTGCTTCAGGTGAGACTTTCCCTGCTGTCATCCTGTCCTGGAATTTTTCCCTTTTGGGGTGCCTAGTATAATAGGATGGCATGGTCACAATCCCTTAGTCAGTGCCCCGAGTGCCCGTTTAATCACTAGGAGCAAGGAGTGATAGTCCTGTGTTCCCTTGAGCTGTGGAATTGTACACGGGGTGATGAACTCCTTCCTGGCCCCTATGTGACAGCACTGGACAATTCACAAGGCACAAGCAGGGTCATGTGGTAGAAGAAGTCACATGCACGCCAATACCCAGCCCTACTGTCCCCGATCCACCCTTTTCATTCATTGGGTTTCTGTTATTTTATTCATGCAAGCTCATTATCACATGTGGGCCTTACCTTGGGTGGGCTCCATGCAAATACAGCCTGTCTATGAACTCCCACTCCTCCAGACTGACACCCACCCATCAAGGAATGCTCACTGCTTACATCACAGCTGAGGGCTCTTGAGAGGAGTACGGAGGCAGTGTGCTGTGATTAGGGATGCACCGATACTGAGTATTTGGGTGAGTACTCGTCCTCGCCCAAATGCTCCGATACGTCCGAGGGAGCATGGAGCCGGCTTCCTGATCGGCTAGAAAGCCGGCCTCATTTGTTGCTAGGTAGCCTGACTCCCTAGGCACGTAATGACCTGCTTCCTGATTTCTTTAGGAAGCCAGGCTGCCTTCCAACAAGTGAAACCGGCTTCCTAGCCAACCATGGAGGCGGGTCATGCCGTGCCGCCCAGCTTCCTGATTGGCTAGGAAGCCGGCTTCACTTTTTGGTAGGCAGCCTGGCTTCCTGACCAATCAGGATGCTGGACGGCACCTCATGACTCGCCGCCCGGCTTCCTGATTGGTCAGAAAGCCAGGCAGCCTCGGCAAGTGAAGCCAGTGTTCTTTCACTAGAACACCAGCTTCATAGGCAATCAGGAAGCCGGGTGATGGGTCATGATCCTCTGCCCTGCCCTGATAATCGGGGCATACGGCACCGGTATCGGTACTTTGTATCGGTGAGTACCAGGAACAAAATGATCGCTACTCCATACCGAAGAAACCGGTATCCGTGCATCCCTAGTTGTGATGTTTTTAGGAAGCTATGTACAGCACATAGCCACCATCCATGATCGGCCCGCATTGCATGAGAAGCAGAGAGATCCAATGATGACATCACTGAGTCCAACTATGGTGTGTAATGAAAACAGATTATCAACCGATTGGCATGTTGGTGAGGAGGAACCAGGGAAGGCAAAATCTAATCGGATTAAACTTCAGCTTTAAACAATGTTGAGGTTCAGCTTCTATTTCTATAGGTAAACCTTTTCCATCAGGCAGGAATAATACTGAACAGGCCATGCGGGTGATGAAGCCATAATGTGTAATGTCTTCCTTGTCTGTAGGACGATCCTCCCGGCGATGGTGACTTGCCGTTCCAGCTGAGCGCTCAGTCCCCAGCAGCTCACACTCATCTCACCGTGGATCTACCGGTGCACATCCTGCAGGTATCCCCATCTGTCACTCCAGCATTTTGCTCTATACGAGTCTTCTCGCCTGCTTTGTTCACGGTTTGTTCTTCTCCTAGGAGCCCCACGTCTCCGCAGAGGATGATGCCGCCTCAGACAGTTCCCAGTTTACAGGAAGCACAATAAACCTGCAGGACCTCGAGTAAACTTTGCACCGTTCCTAGGATACAAAGACGCGTTATGCAGCGCCTAGTGCTGCACTCGCCGCTTCCTCCTCCGTTCCCCCCGTTATGACCACAGGAGTATTCTGGAGCAGAGAGATCTGCACCCCGTTCCCCGTCTGTGGAAAGTGTTCACCTTGCACTATGTGTTACGTTCTCTTCTTCTACACGGTCGTACACAAAAAGCTGCTTTCTGCTATTGTGTGTCCGCCGGATCCACGGAGGATTTGGGATATCAGTATGGAATGTTCTACGTTATCTTCCCCAGAAGCAGGACACTGGAGAAGCTTCTTTGTGAGTCGAGTATTCTGCAGCCGCCGATGAGGACGACTATGCTGAAACGGCAATAGGAATGGTGTAAGCATTGGCATTCCTTGCTGGCAGGTGGATAGGCTTGAGTCAATAGAGGCCCAACTGCTGTACAGTGCAGGCATTGACCAAACATGGCCGCCCCCCTCTTTGTAGAAATATAATCACAGCCAGATATATAAAAACATTAAAGCTGGACTCCGGCCTTTCCTTCAGTCTTGCACAGTTGTACCGGTGTTCTATCGAAAGCTCCAACTCGTCGAAATCTCTAACTTCCTCACCGCCGGGTACTTGCAGGTTGGAGGTTTCTAACCAGACGGCGTTAGACTGCAAAACGCGCAGACTGGCGGAGCTTCTGTACAGATGCATTGTAACAATATTCAGCAGGTGCCAAACTCGACGAGTATTCTGAAAACGCTATTGTACAGAGCGCCAGTCTTTCTGAGCACCGCAAGTGAGGGAGTTGGAGATCTCGATGAGTTGGAGCTTTCGATAGAACAACGGCTCCTCTCCTGGACTGAAATGGCTTCCTCTGATATCACTGCACACCGGGAGCTTCTCACAATGTGCATTAGAAGCTGCGAGTCACATGGAGCCCGCCACATTTCCTGGCTGGAGGGTGCCCAGCATCATCTGGCACTTTCCTCCTCAGCCTGACTGTCCCTGGCCCGCCCCCTTTCATTCATTGGATTTCAGTTCAGTCATGGAGGCTTGGCATCACATGTGGGCATTACTTGGGGCATTCTGCATGCACTTGTAGCCTAACTAGGAACACCCATTCCTCCAGGCTGATATCCACCGATCATGGGATTTTAATGTTTGCAGCTCACTGCTTTCATCAGGGCAGGGGGCTCTTGAGAGGAGTACTAAGGCAGGGTGCTGTGATGGTACCTTGCTGGACTCACCCACCAGCCATGACCTGTCTGCATTGCATAGAGAAGCACAGTAATGACATCACTGGGTATGTAATGAAAACTGAATCATTTTATTAGCATGTTGGTGAGGAGGAGCCAGGCAAGGCAAAATATAAGCAGATTAAAGTAAGTCTCCTGGGTGAAGGAATATAAAGGATATAAACCCTATCACCTTGTACAAGTAGCGGTGACAACATCACTGTGCTGTGTATAGCCTGGGCATAGAGCAGAGCTGTGGGAGGGGCCCAGCAGGTCCCACCCACTACAGGAGGGGCAGAGCCCAGACCAGTCACCCCGCACAAGGAGAGAGATCAGCAGTGACCGGTCTTTATTACAAGAGGGGGCGGAGACAAGACCAGTCACCCCGCACAAGGAGAGAGCAGCAGTGACCGGTCTTTATTACAGGAGGGGGCGGAGACAAGACCAGTCACCCCGCACAAGGAGAGAGCAGCAGTGACCGGTCTTTATTACAGGAGGGGCGGAGACAAGACCAGTCACCCTGCACAAGGAGAGAGAGCAGCAGTGAGCGGTCTTTATTACAGGAGGGGGCGGAGACAAGACCAGTCACCCTGCACAAGGAGAGAGGAGTAAAGTTCAGGAATTGTTTACTGCTGGTTTACTACACAAATAACGAAGCAATACACAAGAACACCAAGATCCTAGTTTATATCCCAGCCTGTTTCTGCTCCTTTACTGTCCAATCACAGACTAGGGACAGGAAGGTGACCTTAGTTGTGGTGCTTAACTCCAGTAGAAAAAAAAGTCAGGTCACCAACCTGGCAGTGCCATGTAAATCTCAGGACTGGATGAACAGAAATACAAATCCTTGCAAGTAACACTGCTCGCATATATGTATTTCATCATCTGCGCATTCAAAGTGAGACTGAACTCAGGCGTGAAATCTTAAACATACATTCCGGTATCTTAACTATGAACAACAATGTATCTTATTTGTGTGTCACTCGGCTGTAGATCCTCCAATCATCTCTGAATTGGTGCTGACACTGTCCTTCCTTCTGGAGGGGGGCTACGTCTGTTCCCCATGTTCCCTGTGTGTGTTGTAAAGTAGTCACCGCTCCAAGCTCGCTCCCGGGATGGACTACAATCTCATGTTTAGTTGACTAATTTGTATTGAGATCGTAGTCCATCCCGGGAGCGAGCTTGGAGCGGTGACTACTAGAGATGCACCAATACCGATACTAGTATCGGTGCTGACGCAGAGTATTTGGGGGAATACTCGTACTCACCCAAATGCTCCGATGGCTGGCCCCATACCTGAGCTTCCAGTATCGGGAAGCAGGGCAGCGAGTCATTACATGCTGCCCCGGCTTCCTGATTGGCTGGGAAGACCAACTCCATGTGAGGGAGCATGGAGCTGGCTTCCCAGCCAACACGTCATTACACGGCGCCCGGCTTCCTGATTGGCCAGAAAGCCGGCTCCATGCTTCCTCATCACCTGGTGACGAGGGAGCATGGGGACGGCTTCCCTGCTGATCGGTAAACGGGTGGGCGAGTCTACACGCCGCCTGGCTTCCTTAATGCGACTATCAGTATTCAGTATCGGCGAGTAGTGGAAAAAAAAAAATATTGGTACTCTATACCGGGAACCCGATATCGGTGCCTCTCTCTAGTTGAGGTCAGGGATCTGTAAAGGTCACTTGAGTTCCTCCACACCAGACTGGTCACACCATCTCTTTTATGGAGCTGGTCATACAGGAACAGAAAAGGATCTTCCCCATACGTTCAACAAGGTTGGAAGAGCACACTTGTGTAGTTACCTACACCTGAACTCAACCCTTTGCAGAGGTGTCCACATACTTTTGGCCAAAATATTGGTACTCGATACCGAAAAACCGGTATCAGTGCATCCCTAGTGACTATTTTACAACACACACAGGAACCATGGGGAACAGACGTTGCCCCCCTCCAGAAGGAAGGACAGTGTCGGCACCAATTCAGAGATGATTGGAGGATCTACAGCCGATTGATACACAAATAAGATACATTGAGGAGAATTTATCCAAACTGGAGCAGCTGTGCACGGCAACCAATCAGCGCCTCTGTTCAGTTAAGGTTTTGAAAATGAAAGAGAGAAGCTGATTGGTTGCGGTGCACAGCTGCTCCAGTTTGGATAAATTCCCCCATTGTTGTTAATAGTTGAGGTCCTTGAATGTATTTGTAAGATTTCACTCCGGAGTTTGGTGTCACTTTGATGGCATGTGTGAACGTTCTTCATTAGGGACCAAAACCCTCACTTCCTGTCTCGCTCTGACCAGCAAGGAATACACGTTTCTAGATTTCCTCAGCGTCGTCCTCTCCCTTTGGTCTGCTCATGGCTTCCGTTGGCGGGATTTACGTCATTTTTGCAGCGTTCAGACCTTTCTTGGCATTGGAATTCTCTATAGTGATGGAGAACCTACCTCTGGAATACAAGCGGTCAGCTCTGAATCGGACGAGTTGGCGTCCAATCCCACGCTACGGTCCTGATCCTTTTATAGTGAACCGCGGGCATTGCTGACGGAGCGTCCGCTGCTCCCCACCTTAAATTATCCGGTTTTATTTGTGTATATTGCAGGACTTTTGTTCCTTTATTTTGTTTTTGTACAAAGTTGTACAAATGAATATTTATATACCGTACTTCTGGTAGACTGCGCAGGGTCTGCGTTCTTCTCTTTCCTCCGTTCTGTACATTTTTTTTTTTTATGGGTGAAGTTTGGTGGATGCGAAAGGTATTAAACTTTTTTGGTTTAGCGATTTGTTTTCTGTAACGTAAATGTTTTGGAAGCTTCTCTCCGGGCAAGTGAAGGCCCCCACCAAGGGCCCGTTCACACATTTAGGTGACCTGCGTTGTACCGCTCCGGATCAGCGACCTATAGAAAACAATTGTGCCCCGATCACACCATAATGAAGTGGGTGGAGTTGCTGCAATGAAATGCAAACATGACGCATTTTATTGCAGCGCATTGGATGGCACTACAAGGCAGCAGAGTGCACCACGCTACTGTACGGGGCCCTGAATGGAGAGCACTCATTGCATACGCTACATAAAGTTAAAACGGGACTCCAGGATTTTGAAACGTTCACCCTTGCAGTGGGGGCTACCTCGGCACTGCAAGGGTTAACTGCTCATTTTGTCTGGCGGGCTCAAATAAAGAAATACTCTACCTGATCCTCGGTCCCATGTTGGTGGTAGACCAGTCCCTGCAGCCTCTTTTCCCCTGGGCTCTGGCAGTCTAAGGACCTGTGATGTCATCAAGATGCTGAGGGACGTACCACAGCTGGAGTGGGGAGAGGTGGGTGGTCGCTGCCGCAGGTCAGAGGATTGGGCTAGTATTTCTTTAGCTTGCTTCTTTGACAAAAAGGAGCAGTTAACCCTTCCAAGGGTGGGGGTAGCCTCACTGTAAGGGTTAACTTTTTAAAATCCCCCCACAAATGATACCCAACACCCTGCCGGAGCTACCCCAATGCTGTGGCCTGTGTGCTTTAGCCCACCAGGACTAGTGTGCACAACCACGTCAGGACCAGGATGTATATAAATGTATGGGGGGTCATGAAGTGGTTTCTAAGTATAGGTCTGCCATACCTGACCTCTGAAAATGCTAGTTGCTTGGCTTTAACCCTTCACACACATGCCACTGAAAGGGTCAATACATGCATGGGGTCACAGCGTGCACGCGCACTAAGTGGAATGTTTGTGGAGGAAATGCTGTACAGGACCTCATAGTGAAGAACGCTGGAATGAGGAGGAAGGTTAAGCACTGGGGAGGGCCGTGAAGCCAGCACTGGGGAGGGGCATGAAGCCAGCACTGGGGAGGGGCATGAAGCCAGCACTGGGGACGGGCATGAAGCCAGCACTGGGGACGGGCGTGAAGCCAGCACTGGGGAGGGGCGTGAAGCCAGCACTGGGGAGGGGCGTGAAGCCAGCACTGGGGACGGGCCTGAAGCCAGCACTGGGGACGGGCCTGAAGCCAGCACTGGGGAGGGATTCATTAAAAGACAACTTGTACTAGAAGGTGCAGTTGTCCATCTCTGAATATTCTTGGTAAGAAGTGGAGGGTTCAGAAATGCTGCATCCAGCGCCCTCTAGTGGACTCTCTAGGAAAGTAGTTAACACTGACAGGCCTAGCGCTACATGGTCTTGTTTTTCCTGTCCACCATGCCAGAGGTTGGGGTGATCTTGTAGTTGGGGGTCCTGAACATAGGTAAGGGCTGAGTGTGAAAAAAAACCCGGAGATCAGCATTGGCAGCCCACATCCTTTCCTCAGTAGCGGCGTGCTCTTATGTGGTCGCATAGAAGACAACGGTATCATTTTCTGGCAGATAAATATTTATTTGACTTTCAGCCGAGCCGAGATCAGTTCACCCAGAAATGTGATCAGCTCTCAGTACAGCCGGCAGGTTGCAGGATCCTAGGTGAAGAACAACATGGTTTCCTCCTTCTCCTTGTCGATTTTGTCTTGGTCTTTGTCTGTTCTGAGCTTCAGCGTCGGAGGGTCAGAGCGCGTCATCAGTTTTCTGCCGGTCTGTAGGAGAACATGAAATCATCACTCTGCGGGGCAGTCGGGACGGCTTTCCTGTCACTTTCATACCCTTTAAATTAAAGTGACAGTCCACCTTTTGCAAAAACATACATGCAGCCATGTATAATGAGGCAGACTGAGGTTGTGGCCTCAGGCGGCATCTCTTTGGATCACGTGGGGGGTGGCAAAAGGCAGAGCGGCATGGCACAATGTTTGCAGTGTGCCTGCTGCCCGCTTTACGGCCAGAACATCCCAGGTTGCTAAGAGCCAGGCGGGGAGATGTGTAAGGACCATACACATCTCCCCGCCCATCTCTTAGCAACCTGGGAGGCGTCCCCCACAGCTCCTGCCAACCAGTGACATCACTGGGCGGGGAAATGATGCAGAGGTAACACCCATCCAACATGCAGTATGCACCGCCCTCCCAGACAACACAACCCGGACCCTCCCCTTCCTCAAAATGCTAGGGACCCCCCCTGCTTGCACCCTACAGATCATTGTTTTTTTGGGTGCAATTCACAAGCTCTTGCAAGGTTTTCCCAGAGCCTCAGGTATGTACAGAGATGCTGTTATGGAGCTAGAGGAACGGAGGCTAAACCATAGAGCATTGCAGAGGACAGGAGCTCATTTCCTATGTTCTCCAGCTCTATCTAGTGGCCAAAGTGCAGTATTACATTCCTTACATTCGACCTGACTAGAAAACATACCTTCATTTTTGCATCTATTCGGAAAAGTGAACGTTCAGAAAGATGAGTGGGGCGAATGGCTCTGCACGTTGGTTATAAATAGACCTCATAGTGTCATCAGGGTACATTTTGCATCTATTTTAATGCTCAATGTCATCATTTGGGATCCCATTGGCTCAATGAGTTACAAACACAACAGACTTCTTCCTACTAGCCGAGTGTTTATGGGCAAATGAACAGAAATGATTACAAATGTGCGCTGAGTTCCTGAAAAGTCCCTGGAGGGATCTGATAAGAATTTGACACAAGATGGAGAAAACTCCAAAACATTGGCGGGTCCTTACTGTCTTCTTGGGGTCGGCTTGTGCTCTCTCCAGGGCCCGCCGCAGCCTGTCCTCCTGGTGCAGCTTCTGCTGTTTAATCTTTTCCTCTCTCAATCTGAGGAACGAGAAGGAGAACTAGAGTCAGATTTTTAAGTCCAGCCAGAGGATCACCTCCACCCTCCAAAAACAAAAAATCTAAATACTTACCTGAATCCCTGTGGTCATGTGACACACCTGGTCATGAACGTCTCGCCTCTGGACTGCAGTGCAGGGGGGTCCTCTTTTGGGTGGCTATGTTATGCAATGGCCACTTGCCATTGTCTATCCATTGACGTTATCCTCGCAGGTCCAGAAGACTCCAGCGGTAGTGTGATGATGTCACGATGATGGGCAGCAACAAGACCGGCCTGGGGCAGGCACAGGCTGAAGTGGTGGATCACCTGTCTTCCCTCCCAAAAGAGGCGCTTTAGAGGGTCACGTGACGTCTGACAACACTTTCAGCGAAATGGGCCTGTGTTGTCAGATCAAATAGGGAGTAAGGAGCACACTGGATTGAACGAAGAATGATCAGTCTTCATTAGTAGACAAACTCCGGCTCTCCAGCTGCTGCGAAACATCGAATCCCATGATGCATTGCAAGACTATGACAGCCACAGGCATGACTCCCACAGGCAGATGCATGATGGGATTTGTAGTTTCACCACAGCTGGAGTGCCAAGGTTACCTACCACAAATTGGAACATTTCCACCTCTCTTCTTCTTATGTTGATGGGCTTTTGTGTGCGACAGAACTGCTTCTCTCCCTGTACCAGTCTAGAGAATGTAAAAGCAGCTTGAAGCAGGTTGATGCAGCTTAGATGGAGGTGAACTGCAGGTCAAACACAGCTGTCAATCAACTCGGAATGGTCTCAGAATGGTCTGAAACTGATCGCAAAAGGAAGCGTCTGATCCTTCGGTATGACCTCGATGTTGTCCAGCAGTTCCTCCAGTTGGTGCTCGATCACCATTAACATCTGCAGAGCGCTGAGATTAGCGCGGTTCTCCCCGATGCAAGCTCTGTAAACGTCCTCCACTTTGGAGCTCAGAGACGACAACATCTTGTCCTGTGGACCAAAGTCAAAGGGATCACCGGAACCGTCGCAACATCGGAGTCCTCTCCGGGAACATACTCCAAGTGCCTGGCTGGCCATACACCTGTCAATTCTTTTTCATTCAACCCGCGGGCTGAGCAAAAAAAAAACATCAACACAAACTGCGCGTCCATCGAGGAATCCCGCCGTTCACATTGTATTCTGACAATTGGCTCGTGGGCTGCTGGCCCTCATTGATTGAACATTTTCCAGCCGGCTCCTTCGATCAGCCGATCGAGGAATGCCGCCTGAAAGGGAGCCGACAGCCCCACGCACTGTGCGAATTTCGTCCGGTACATTAAAAACCATCCAAAATTCGACCGGTGTATGAGCACCTTTTCTCAAGAAAGCATCCCCCTGCATAAAAGTTATAGACACAGCCTGAGGCCGGGTGTCACCGGAGCGGTTACCGGGCGACACCCCAACCTGACGTCATCGCGCATTGCGCGTGACGTCACCACGCTTGTGCCCGATGATGTAATCGCGATCTCATTGATACCTGCCGGCGGCCATCTTGGTGATGGACGCCGGCAGAGAGAGGAGGGCCCTCACCCGGGTGACACCGTTGGAGGGGTGACACCAAGATGACTCACAGTCATTTTGGTGTCACCCCCACTGAAAAGTCGGGCACTCGGTCGTGGCCCGAGAGCCCGACAGTTTTGGGAGAGAGGAGGGGATCCAGCGGCATACCTTATCTTGCCGGGTCCCCTCCTCTCTCCCGAAACTCTCGGGCTCTGTCAGTCATTTTGGTGTCACCCCTCCAATGGTGTCCCCCGGGTGCGGGCTGCACCCCCCTTGTGACGCCACTGGACACCGCAGGGAGTACAGCACACTTTCCTGCAGGTCATACATTCCTCTGATGTGAAGAATTTGATGTTTGCCTTAAAGCAGGGGTCTCCGGCCCTCCAGCTGTGGTGAAACTACAAATCCCATGATGCATCTCTCTTCGGGAGTCATGTCTGTGGCTGTGAGAATCTTGCAATGCCTCATGGGATGTGTAGTTCCACCACAGCTGGAGGGACGGAGGTCTGAGACCCCTGCCTTAAAGGGTAACTCCACTTTAAAAAATAAATGGATATGAAATAAAATATCACATTTTCCCACGAGCCATATTGTAGTTTAATGTTATTAAAAATGACCTTTCCATCTAAAACTATGGCCGCTGTAATGTTCTAAATCTGTAAAAAAAAAAATCAGTGCAGTTTGGTGATGTTGGTGTACGGAACACCCCCAGAAATGTCACTTCCTGCTTCGGTGATTGGCTGATTGATTTTCCCACAAGTATGCACTGATACAATTTTTGGCATCCCTTGCAATAGGAGTTTCATTTTTGGTGAGATTCTCCCTAAGCGTTTGTAGCCCCTATAGATTTGCTACTAGAGTTAATTGTGCTGTGCAGGCTGTGAGGCGGAGGGACTTGTGGCTGTGCTAGTACAGAGCTAGGGAGAGACTTTATTAACTTGAACTGATTGAACTACAGTTCCCAAGGATCTGGAGGAGGAGTGAACTGAGCCCGCTCTGTAGTAATTTGATTGGTTCTGGCCCCTTTATGGCATTGACCCAACTCACCTGATCCTCGGGTTTGTTCTGTCCAAAGGTAAACACGCGGGACTTGAGCTCGAGGTCCGTGGCTCTCTCCTCCTCCTGTGCAATGGAAGCCTTCAGATGCGCAATTAGGTCCTTTAGCTGTTGCGTCTCCCTTTGCCTAGTGAAATAAATACATTCATATTACAACTGGCGGGTAGGGGGGCACATTGAGGAACCTGCCCTCGGGGCAGCTGAAAGAGTAAATCTGGCCCTGTGTGGACAGGAAGTGGATGAAAAAGGCTGCAGGAGATCACTGGAGCACTGAAATTGAAAAGTGTGTTTCATAACAAGGCGGCTGTTCATCATACACGGTGCTTTAGCAAAGTGAATGTCATCTAATGGAAGCTTACATCTACTTTAACATGAGAGTATTGACTTTTCATGACGTGTTCACTCTTACATTTTCTTCTCGGTGGTGGCGGCTGTGTGTTTGATTTCCTCCAAAGCTTCCTCCGTCTCTTGTGAGTTCTGGATTAAAGAAAGATTCTGTTCCTCCAGCTCGGAGAAGATGTCCAGGAGCTGCTGGGGGTCAGTGAAGTACAGCTCGGGTTCCTAGTCACATATCAAAGTCTTTGGGTCACATGACACTGATACAACACAATGAAAACTGATTCTATGAGGAGTCTCTGCATCCAAAAACACATTACAGCTGAAGAATCATCTGCTTTTCCTGGCTCACCTCATGTGGGCATAGTAATGGGTTAACTCCGCCCCCGGCTACCTATAGGACCGCCCCTAATCAGAGTCCAAAAACAGCTGAAGAATCATCTGCTTTTCCTGGCTCACCTCATGTCGGCATACTAATGGGTTAACTCCGCCCCCTGCTACCTATAGGACCGCCCCTAATCAGAGTCCAAAAACAGCTGAAGAATCATCTGCTTTTCCTGGCTCACCTCATGTCGGCATACTAATGGGTTAACTCCGCCCCCGGCTACCTATAGGGCCGCCCCTAACCAGAGTCCAAAAACACATTACAGCTGAAGAATCATCTGCTTTTCCTGACTCACCTCATGTCGGCATACTAATGGGTTAACTCCGCCCCCGGCTACCTATAGGACCACCCCTAACCTCATGTCGGCTTACTAATTTTGGCCATACAGTGTATCAGTGTTGGGAGGACTGACCCTTTAGAGCCCAAGTGTCAAAACTCATGGCCCAGGGGCCGAATCCGGCCCACCAGGCCCTTTCCTAGACTTCTACTTTCAGATCTAGGAATTAAGTTATTACTAAAACCAGTGATAATCAAATGCAGAGGCAATTATGATAAAGATTAGATACATTTATATAGTCTTACAGATACCTTTGAGGGCAACCATAAATGTTGATACGGCCCACGATTACATTGAGTTTGACGCCCCTGCTTTAGAAGGTGCACAATAATAGATAATAGAAAAAATAGATTTATCATTCTAAACCGCCACCTTGTAACATTTGCAGTACCCACCTCTTCACTGTCCGAGGATACGAGGCTTTCCGAGACACTTTTATCTTCTGTCTGGTTGGTTGCACTACTCCTGGAATTAGAAATGAAAGGGCTTCGTATTTGGAAATGTTCAGCAACCCTTTTAGTTGCCCAAACCAGCACCAGAGAGATGATAAACCTCTAAGATACTTACAATTTGTTGGATCCGGCTGTTTTCAGGCTCTGCCTAGATGACGGATTTTGGAGATCGCGGGTGGAATCACGGCTCTGGCTGATCTGGCCGGAGGAACGGCTCTCGGCTTCTGAAAAAGAATACATACCACACGTGACGTCAGTTTCCAGAGTACAGACCTCACCTGAGATACATGGAATGGAGGCTTAAGAAGAAGGTCATCCTTCGAGTGGTCACAGGTGGAAATGTGAGGTACATTAGGAGACAATAATTGTTTTTGGCCAAGATGACTTCAGGCAACTCTGATTCCCCGGTAAACATTACAATGAATGTGGTGGAGGAAAATAATTGACTTTCATACTGTAACATAAACTGTAGAAGGTACATTCTCCTGAGTAGTACACCTGAATAATACACTCTGCTGCCTGTGACTGCCCTCTCTAGTGC